GTGCACCAGGAGACTCACTCATATCTACAACTTCGGGAGAGAAACTTAACGTAGGAGCCTCTGAGACTCCGGGTCGGTACTGCTGTAATTTAACTCGACGATGGATTAGGTGACGGAGCCATCATGGACTGGGAGAATAGCTAAGTTAGGGGCAACTGTAAGGCGATTAGACCAGTGAATTGGACGAGGATTTCATCAAGAGATTGGTATACTAGTCAACCGGATCACTGGATAACGACTCGTATAGATTGGATGACTGGAAACGACTGGACTAAGGGATCGGTAAACCCCTCGACTGTGACTGACAAGAAGTGTTTTTAAATGACTGAACCACAAAAAACATGTCAACAGTATCTGACCAGGCGGAGGAGAAGCGGAGGAGGAGGAGGAGGAGGAGGAGGAGGAGAAGGAGGAGAAGAAGAAGAAGAAGAAGAAGAAAAAGAAGAAGAAGAAGAGGAGGAGGAGGAAAAGAAAGAGGAGGAGAAAAAGGAAGAGGATGAAAAGGATCAGGAGGAGAAGAAGGAGCAGGAGAAGGAAGAGGAGGAATATTAACAAAGACATATAAACTAAGATAAATCAAAAAAAAGAAAGAGAGAGAGAGAGAGAGAGAGAGAGAGAGAGAGAATACCTATAAACAAAACAAAAGTATTTATAAGTATTGAGACAACATAAACGACATATCCCCCCCCAAAAAAAACTTTGGCAATACGCAAACAAATGAATAAAAGTAAAATTACAAACTTTTTTGTTTATACGCCGCAATAAACCAGGTGTGTGTGTGTGTGTCGTGCTGTCGTTTGTAACAGTTGTGGCATTGTCAGTGTGTTGTCGGTGCAGGTGTGTTGGGGGCACACCTGCCAACCCTCAACGCTATGTACAAACGCAATAAAATCCACAATGTGTAGTCTACGATGAAATGCATGCTTACAGACACGGAAAAAAACATACACTCACGTACACAAGGACGCATGTACACACAGTTATAAATGTTCACAGTTACACACAGTCATCTCGGTTAACACTTTTCAGACAGACACTGGGACAGACAGTGAAAGACAGGGTTGAACTTGATGATGGTTGAGTGGGTGTGGCGTGGGGACACTTGACACCTCGTAAAAGGGAGTTAGCCTTGTCCTGTACATCACCGTCAGGAGCCTCGCTGTGGGGGGTCCTCGTGTATGGGTTTTTTATTTGGGGAGGGGAGGAGGGGGAGGGGGAAGAAGGTGAGGGTGAGGAGGTGAGGGGGAGGGGGTAAGGGGAAGGGGGTAAGGGAGGGGGGTTTAATGAGGGAGGACAGCCAGGTTAATAATGGTCTTTAACCCACCAGAGTACGGGATGGAATGTGGAGTCACTCTTAACCTCTACGGTACTACTACTACTACTACTACTACTACTACTAATACTAATACTAATACTAATAATAATAATAATAATAATAATAACAATAATAGCAATAATATTAACCAAAAATAACTAAGATAATGAGACACACAAAACAAGGAGACATGACCATACCTCACATGCAGACCAAATTATTATTACACACGTTATCTCCCTAACACAGCCTTGCGTTCATTGCCTTCACACCTGATGGCAGTATCCCACACGCCAATTTGTAATCTGTCAAATATTTCCTGGAACTGCATGCCAATCCCGACAAACTGTAAATTGTGGTCCCCTATATAAAGTTAAAATCCAGTCACGGAGTCTCACGCGCAATTAACCCTGTACACGAATGAGCCTTGTGTTTTGGGGTGTGATTGTTGTATGGACGAAAATGTGTATGGAAAAATAATAATAACCAACAATATCAACATTAACTTCTACCAACCTCTTAAGAATCATCCCAGATATCACTCACCTTACATCCCACTCTCACAAAATACTCACAAGTCCTCTTCATATTAACATGACAAACCTACTAATTAATACCTTCCAACTCACAATAAATAAAGATACACAAAATGAGAGAGAGAAAGAAAGTAAAAAAAAGAAACCAGCCTCAATAACATAAATAAAAACACAATTTTCTTCACACACTTTCTCAACTCTCACACAAAAGAAGTGAGAACAAAATTTGGACTCAGAAACGCTGGAGTCATTGTGCGGCCATGGACTCACCCGGGGATTGTTTTAGCATAACCTCGGCAAATTTCTTCCTCCTTCTCCCCACCACACGCACTCACATCCTCCCGCCCCGTCTCCTTTCACACCGTGCACCAGCCTCTTCCTTCCCTCTCCTCCCGCACCTACCACCCCCTCCCTTCTCCCACATCCTCCCTCACACATCTACTTCCAACCGCACCCACCCACCCAGCACCTACCTACCCACTCTCCTAACTACGACCACTACCCTTTTAACAACGACATCACCACCTTTTTAACTACGACCATCCCACTATCTATCTATCCAACCTCTCACCACCACCTCCTCCTCACTGGTATATGAGAGAACACACACACACACACACACACACACACACTATAAACACCTTGACAATAGAAAGCCAAGACCTCAAAGTGAATACAGTATTACCCTGCCACACGAACACAAGAGGAGCTTCACTTTACACACAACATACCCACGGCAGCTTCTCCAAGGCTCGGACCCATACACTCACCTGAGGAGAAAAAAAGATATGCTCAGTTATCATGTCTTTAATATATACATGAATATACTGTATACTCTGTCTTAAGTCAATATATACGTGGTTATTCACTTTCGATATATTCTTTAAAAATATACCATGAATTTACATTTCCAAAGGTCATTACTAAGTTCAGTATGTTACTAAAGTTAATTATTAAAGTGGAAATGATTTAATTGTTATTAGAATAATAATTAATAAAACAATGATGACAAAGCCTGGAGAAAAAAATACAATTGATTAATGTTGGTCAATATGTTCACTATTGGGTTGACAGTCCTAATAGGTCTATGTTGTATTGGGCCTGATCCTAACCTAACCTAACCTAACTCAATGGATAAATAGGGATTAAAGTACATTAGGTCAAGGGGGCCAATATGACTGGGTCCTATCACGATGGTTGGGTTGGGTTAGGTTAGGTTGAGTTGCAGTAGGTTTGTAAACAGTGCACACACACATACACACACACACACACACACACACACACACACACACACACACACACACACGCACAAATGCACTTAATTCCAGCAGTTCTCCACCACTCATGACAACCACGTCCCAATCTCCTCCATTCATGACCACCTCTCCCTGTCATCTCCACCATTCATGATAACCACGTCCCAGCCTCCACCATTCATGACTACCTCTCCCCAATCTCCCCCATTCATGGCCACCAACAGGCCTTGTCCTCTCCAACATTCATGACCAACTCCTCGGGTCAGGGGTCAAGGTCAGGTGAAGCTCCGGTGTACAGAGAAAGGATCAACTAAACTCAGCCTAAGAACTGGTTGTCACTTGTGGTCGCCCTCACACCTCTGTCCGCTTCTCGTCTGCTGCTACCACGCCATGCCTACTGTTACCTCCTTACCTACTGGGACGTGAGGAGTCTGTCTGTCTGTGTGAGAAGTCTGTCTGTCTGTGTGAGAAGTCTGTCTGTCTGTGTGAGAAGTCTGTCTGTCTGTGTGAGAAGTCTGTCTGTCTGTCTGTGTGAGAAGCCTGTCTGCCTGTGAAGAGTCTATCTATTTGTGAGAAGACTGTCTCTGGGAAGTCTCATTACGTGTGAGGAGTCTCTCTACATGTGAGGCGTCTCTACTGGAGAGTACTGGAGCGTGAGGCTGATTCGCAGCAGCTGTCTGGACCAGGCGGGGTGGAGCCACGAGTACTGTCAAATTAACCCCAGTCCTAATAGTTCACAGTCCCAATAGACCCCAGTCCTAATAGTTCACAGTCCCAATAGACCCCAGTCCTAATAGACCCTCTCCCAATAGACCCCAGTCCTAATTGACCCTCTCCCTAATAGAGTCCAACGTAACCTCGAACAAAATACGAGCCAATCAGTGTTCATTATGTGCTAAGAGTGTCTTAATCCTCCGTCCCTTTAGTGGTCAATGAAGCGACGTGAGACAGGGGAGTGAATAGCCTCGTGTGGGTGGGTTACTTTCACGCCGTTGAGAATGGAGACATAATTTTACATCTTAGAGTGACTTGTATTATGTCAAGTCAAAACTGTGTGTTATGATCTGTACTTCCTGGAGACGAGGGTAGGGTAGGGTAGGGTAGGGTAGGGTAGGGTAGGGTAGGGTAGGGTAGGGTAGGGTAGGTTAGTTAGATTAGGGTTTGTGAGGGTATGTTAGAGTTGGTTAGGTTAGGTTAGGTTAGGTTAGAGTTTGTGAGGGGGTGGGTTAGGGTTAAGTTTATGTTAGTGGTAGGTTTATGTTAAGCAAAGTTAAGTTAGGTTAAGTTAGGTTAGGTTAGGATTAAGTTCTATTAGGGGTAGGATATGCTAAACTTAACGTAACAACATATTAACAAACAACAACAAAAACACATAACCTTGCATACGAAAAGACCAACAATATTTATACAAAACAACAGACACACGTACACAGTCCTCCAATAATACGTGTACATAATTCTGTTCACAAGGTCATTAGTGAGTCAAAACAATTTACAACTAATTACTGTGTGATTCTGAAAGGGAAAGGAATCCTAATTAAAAATAGGGCCTATGAGGTGATTATATAAGTATTCATCATCTTTATACATAATACACATGAACCTCACCAACTCATTATGCATCATTGTATACATAATTGAGTTTCTGGGAGGAGATAATCGAGTAAAGGAAAACATTCTGGTCTAAAAACGAATAAATGAATAAATTAACAGTCGCAGTCTACGAGGAAATGCGTAAAGCGGAACGTAAACAAACTGTATTTTAACGTGTGGTTGGCAGCTGTGGTGGAGTGGTTGGTAACAGTGGTCATGAAGTTGGCAACAGTGATCATGTGGTTGGCAACAGTGATCATGTGGTTGGCAACAGTGATCATGTGGTTGGCAACAGTGATCATGAAGTTGTCAACAGTGGGTGTATGGTTGGCAACACTGACCTATACAGTTGGCAACAGTGGACACAACACTAACCACAAAGACCGTGTGGTTGGCATCACTGGCAGCAGCAGGTCTGGGCTGGCAAGATAACACGAGAAATGAGAAGTGAAAACGGGCGTTGGCAACAATGGGAGAGCTGACCGGCTGGTGGCAGAGGAACAGGTGGTTGGCAACACTGGTAGAGCATCTGGGTGGAATAGTTGGCAAAAGTGTGTGGAGGGAGGTGTGGCGGGGGAATGTGTGGCAGGGGGGGGATGTGTGTGGGGGGAGGGAGGTGGTGTGGTGAGCGGGAGGTGGTGTGGTGAGAGGGAGATCACGAGCAGCAAGAGAGAGAACTGAGAAGGGGAGAGCAGCCCACCTCCACCTGGCCCAGTTGTTGACTACTTAATTCATTATTACGTTAAACAAACAAACAAACAAACACCATTAGGGCGATCTACTGAAGCGGGCTATGCGTTTGTTACACCCTCTCGCTGTCCTACTTGGCTGCACCACAAATACCTCACGTAAAACACACAATAATACCACGACTTTTAAACCACATTTACACCACACTGACATGACTCTTATTAAACCTTCACATTATCACCCCAATCTTAAACAGGTCTAATTAATTGTCAGTTTAAAATAAGACAGAATTAAGATACATTGTCTTTCATCTCTTAAGTAAGCGAGAAACAATTTATTTCTTGAAGGTGAAGAATGAACTACACCATTTAAAACCACTATTAGTATGCTTTCATTGACAAACATCACTGACAGCCGAGGCCAAAAATCCACTTGATTCATCTCTCACAGCCGACAGCACAATGACCCGTCTGTCAGCTTCCCACATATTCACAACCTCGTCACATCAGTCACACATGACCAGCACAATGTGTCGCCGGTATCTTAGACTGTGGAAGGTCAGAAGAGCTACGTCACACCTGGGGGACCCGGGACCCAGTCCTAATAGGCTACAAGCCTAATGTGCCCTAGTCCTAATGGGCCCAAAGACTAGTGTCTTAGTCCTAGTGGGCCCTAATCCTACTAAGGTTAGGTTAGGGCCTATTAGGACTTGAAATATTTGCCCAGAAGAATGTAGTAGGAGAGGAGGCCACAAGATGTACCCAGCTCGGTACACCGCCCCCGAGGCCCAGCACCCAGGCGCGTCACCTCAGTCAGTGAGGAACGAAAAATGAATTCGAAAACAATTTTATTCAAATATGATTTCATTAGAATTCAGATGTCCCCGCCTGATGCAAATTAATTAATCACTCGCCTGAAGTGAGGTAATTCTTTCCTCGTGGCGGTGAAATATATCAACAGGTTAATATTTTTTTTATTAGTATTATTTTATTATAGGAGTGTACGTGCTATAAGACCCTCATTTCACCAACACTTTAGTAATCGGCGAAATATATAAACATTTTCACGATAAAAGGATAAAATTTACCAAAGTTTAGGAAAAATTATCAGCTGATATAACCAAGCAGTTTTCCTCTATACCCTTGAAAGGAAGAAGGACACACGCGACATTATAGGCATGGCCAGGTAACTCACGCGCTGCCCTATACACAAATACGCTTTTGCTGTTCCCTTTCTGGTGTTAGGAGGAGTCTGTCTGTCTGTCCTACGTTAGAAACGGAGGACAAGACGTGTGTGTAGCGAGGCAAAGATGCAAGTGTGAGGGGCAGCCGGGATAAACAACTTGAGAGTATAGAAACAGATGGACAATTTCGGCGCCACGTGCACAATCTCGCTCAGCCAATAACACCTATTGAATTCCAAACACTCCAGCTCACATTGACCTATTGGAGTGAAGACAATAGCTAACACGTACGTAAGGTCGAGCGGACAGGGATAGCACTATGTCCCGGACAGCCTTCCTGACGGCGATAACGAAATTTCCAGCAATTCACCTGATCACAAAGGTCACCACCACTCAGAAAAGTGTTCCAGCCAGAGAAAGGAATATCACTCAATCCAATTTCAACAGATTGTCCTCAAATCACAATGCAGTGAAACCTCCACCTAATAGCCTTAACTTCAAGGTATATAATTCGTTAGATCCAGGTTTAATATCTAACGGACCACCTCGATCTAACGGACTTCCCTTTCCTGTATATAGTCCGTTAGATGGAGCTTTCACTATCTCTATCCCTCCTCTCTCCAGGTCCGCCCTCCTCAACCAACCTCTTCAGTAGTCAATGTACAGCCTGAACCTCATGTCCTGTGTAAGGTGAAAAGAAAAATCTAAATAGAGAGAGAGAGAGAGAGAGAGAGAGAAATGACCACCTTCACCCCACCAGTCTTACCATACCACCATCTCTTTACCTAACAATAATAATCTCAATAATGATGAGAGGTTAAGAGTCAATATTTGTGAAGGACGAGATTGAGACGTTTAGAAATTGCCTCTGGATACCGTATACCCGGGTCCGTCTCTCCGTGGATTTACGCAGGAAAGGCACCTAACCTAACCTAACCAAGACCATCCTCCTCCGGTTACCTGGTAGGGCTGTGTGTGTGTACCTGACCAGGACCAGTAGCCACTCCAGTAATGAACACACACACACACACACACACACACACACACACGATACTCAATAATCAACAGTGTGTGTGTATGTCCTGGCGATTACAACTGGATATTAAATTTAAACAGTCTACCTTTACAGTGACACCTCAATTTATCGAATTATATGGGGAGAAAAGTCCGTTATATTGAGGGTCCGTTATATGTGAGTTTGTGTGTCTGTGTGTTTAAAAAGAGGGTCATTTTCACCCCCTTAAACGTATCATATAAGGAGTCCATCAGTTTCTCAATCTTGAAGTTATCTCATGAAGAGGGTAGGGGGGAAGGCGAGAGGGGTAGGGAGGAAGGCGAGGAGGGAGGGAGTGGGAGGAGGGGAGGGGGAGGGAGTGAGGGAGGGAGGTGTGGATAGGGGTAGGGGAGGGAGGTGTGGGATAGGGGGTTATCTCCGAGGCACTTAACCCACCTAAGGACGGAATATTCAGAGGGTAGGGGGGAGGGGAAGAGAGGGAGGGGGAGGCGGTAGGGGGTAGGTGGGATAGGGAGTTTGGGGGTTATCTCAAGAGGGATTTAACCAACCTAAAGACCATCATTAGAGATTCAACTGCCAACTTTTACTTTCCCTCGAGGTTTCGGCGGGGAAAAAGACGGTCAACTAATCAGAAAGTCAACAGGAAGTGTCGGTCTTGCCCTACGAGTGTTGTGAAGTGTGTAGGTCCTGGTGGAGGGGGCAGGGGAGCGGTGTTGGCTGTGAGTGGAAGAGGAGGTGTGACGCTGGGATGGAGTTGGTTGTCAGTGGAAGAGGCTTGGGTAGAGTTGGCTGTCAGTGGAAGAGGCTTGGGTAGAGTTGGCTGTCAGTGGAAGAGGTTGGGATGGAGTTGCCTGTCAGTGGAAGAGGAGATGTGTCTCCTGGTTGGGGAGTTGGCTGTCAGTGAGGGCTGGGGTGGAGTTGGCTGTCAGTGGAAGAGGAGATGTGTCACTGTGGTAAAATTTTGGCTGTGAGTGGCGCAGGAAGAGTGGGGCTGAAGGGAACCGGCTGTGAGTGACAGAGGAGGAACATCCAGTAACATAAAGTTATAGCCGAGGCGGAGGCGACCCGTCCTGAGGGGGAGGGCAGAGTTCATTAGTCCTCCTCCGCCCGCCAATCGCTTCCTGCCAAACTGGATTTAAATTTCAAGGGAGGAGAAATGTCGACTTGAATTCCGAGAGCTTTTAAAGTTACATCCGCAGAATGTTGTGAGCAAGAGAAAGGCGGAGACAATGTTGTTTTGAATGTGGAGGGTATAGAACGAGAGGGCGAGGAGTGGCGATGAATGTTGATAAGGAGAATGTGGAAGGAGAATCAGTATGCTGGGTTGGTTGTTGTGTTTATCTTCGGTAATGCAAACCTTAAGATTATTTTCACCGTTTCTCTTTTGTTTCTTTTGTTTTGTAGGAGGGACAATATCCCTAAACAATCACAAGAAAGAGAAGATGAGGTTAAAACTCCGAGAAAGAAAAAACAAGACATCAAAGAATAAACTCAACGACAAAGACGAGAATAAAAGATGAAAATAATATAATATAAAAAACAATGTTATGACCGGGAAATCTTTGAAGTGTATTGGACTTACTCAAAATTTATCGCGAGGGGGCGGAGGAGAGGGTCGGAGGGGGCAGAGGAGAGGGTCGGAGGGGACAGAGAAGAGTGTTGGAGTGGGGTTGGAGGGAGGAGGGTTGGAGGAGAGGGAGGGTGGGAGGTAAGGCGATAAGGAGAGAAGAGATTGGAATTTGCAGATCTCTTAAGACTCGACAATGCCAACAGCTGGGGAGTGAGGCTCAAGTCTGCTGATAATCATAGAGAGAGAATACCTCCCTTAATTCCCATATCTACCTTAATTTTTATATTCTCCCTTAATCTTTATACTCTCCCTTATTTATCATACCTATTTTAATTATCATACCTCCCTTAATTATATAATCTCCCTTAATTATCACACTGTAGCTCCCTTTGTTATCATACTCTTTTATCTCGTGCTGAAACCCACTCAGTGATCGGTGTCTCACTAACCTCACTCACTACTAACTAATCATCAGCACTTGAGAACATGTACACTGGCCCCTAACACACACACACACGGTAGAAGAGAGTGGGTCTGGGTCTGACTGCCAACACAATCCATAGTCGGGGGCGGGAGAACTATCGTGTGATTGTTCGTTAGTCTGACAAGGACTTAGAAAAGTTCCCTCCTCCTCTGTAGAGTAAAGAAGAGAAAAGACAAAAAGGATGAACTTAGCAACACAAGAGAGGAGAGTCCTTCACGTAGGAGCATCAAGGATTAGTGTACAAGTTGGGTATACTACAGACGGCGACCACCATGCAGGGATTGTGTGGGTCCTGGTGACAAGACAGACCCAGAGTACCGAGAACACTTGCCAGGAGTTGGATTAGTACAGCAACGGCGAGGACGATGATTGTGACGACGATGATAACGACGATGGTAACGACGATGGTAACGACGATGGTGACGACGATGATAACGACGATGATAACGACGATGGTAACGACGATGGTAACGACGATGGTAACGACGATGGCAACGACGATGGTGACGACGATGATAACGACGATGATAACGACGATGGTAACGACGATGGTAACGACGATGGTGACGACGATGGTGACGATGATAACGACGATGATAACGACGATAATAACAACGATGGTGACGACGATGGTGACGACGATGGTAACGAAGATGGCGACCACGATGTTAATACCGGACTGGAGAAGACACCTTTTGGCTTTATTCTTTCAGTTCAGAGCTAAAATACCTACAAACTTTTCTATTTCATGTTTTCTCTTTTCTTTTCCTTTATTTTAGGTGCTTGTCTCCATCTTCCTTTCCTTGTAGTTACTGACCCCATGACCCAACACAAATTATTATATATACAGGTAAAGTACTTCTACCACAGCCACCAAACTCACCATAATAAAAAAAAAAGCCAAAAAAATGCAAAAATTGGCTCAAACTACCAATACATTCCTGAAATTTCAAAAACAAAAGGCAATACGAATAGTTTTCAGTAAATTTAGTAGTGTATATTGTTCAGCCTCTCTCTCTCTCTCTCTCTCTCTCTCTCTCTCTCTCTCTCTCTCTCTCTCTCTCTCATAAAAAAGGAAACTAAAGGAAAACAAAAATACTAGACAAGTTACTAATTGCTGCAGGTACAAACTATTGCTACAAATGGCTCTTCATCCCTGATAAACTAAACTAGAATCTGTACGTGAACGCCGAGAAGATCAATGAAAAAATGATTTAACCAGATAATAATTCTTACGGAGGACTGTTAATAGCATCAGGGAGACTACATACATACATTACATACATACATACATACATACATACATACATACATACATACATACATACATACATACATACAGGTACCGTCACATCCCACACACCATCTTGGGGCGGTGGGTCGTCGTTCTTTCAGCTCTGGAAATATTGGGGCGGAAACATCTTTTTCTTCCTCCTCAATAGACTGATTTTTGAGGATCGGAAACGCGATATGATTTTCAGCAGAGAACCTTCTGGATATCCTGGCAATTTTCAACACCCACCATGACACCCCTTCGCATGCCTGTTCTTACGTGTCCTTTTAAATTAAACTCGTGTAAAAAATTCATTTACAGGAGAATTTTTTAATTGTTTATTTACATGTTAAACCAATGTGAACTTGACGCTTTTACTGGGTCCTGTCTGTCTGTTCATACATCTTGAACCTATTTCTCACATGAATCACACAAGATTTATGCCGTTTGCGTCAACACAGACCACCCGCCCCCAGTTTGATTTGTGTCCTCAGCGTTTATTAGTTGAATGTGACGTCCGCTGTACCATCAGTCTTCACGAAGCTGTGACCCATAAATCAGGTGCTGGGGGACGTTGCTTGCTACTGTGTTGGGACAAGAGAGCGTCACACTAACAGATGCAGACGCTTCAGAAACAAAACTGCCGCGTGTTCCAGTCCGCGTCACAGTAGACTTATTTGTAAAACTATATTTATAAACAGGGAACAATTATATTGATATTGTTTTATATCTTATTGAATTAACATGGATGTATGCAACATAGACCTTATGATGGAGCGACGGTGACAGTGGGCAGTGTGGATGACGGTGACAGTGGGCAGTGTGGATGACGGTGACAGTGGGCAGTGTGGATGACGGTGACAGTGGGCAGTGTGGATGACGGTGACAGTGGGCAGTGTGGATGCAGCATTATGGAAACTTATTCTTTTCCCGGACCACAAGGAGGTAGTGTACTCGCCCGCCTTCACTTCCCTCAACTGTGAAGTCAAGGTGCCCTTTCACAACTGGGTAACCTGGTGGTGCCCTGAGATGAACCAACCTACTCCTAAAGATATGAGGACACTGCTGTATCCACTCGGCCTCCACTAAATAATTACTGGCCATGTTAATATACTGCACTGCCACTTTAATAGCAGTAATAAACAACAGCAGTTCTTCTTGAGTGGCTACCCGTAATGTTCCATAATTTACATTTATAACCAATACAAAACGTTGAATACAGGCTGACTCAGTTATTTTGTGAAATGAGTGGTCCTCTATTTCAGCAATATCATGAATTGGTTGGAATTTTTACCCATTCCATGTTAAATGACTGAGAGTCACAGCCATACGCTAAACGGCTGAATGTTTTTAGCAATATTCGTAATGACTGATTACACCGATTGACTGTCACATATACCGTGTGTAGCGAGGCAGAGTGCGTTTGTCATGTTATGGTGAAGCTGTAAGTGGGATTAACATGTAGGCTTCCCACACCCCTGCCGCCATCAATCAACTTTATACGTCACCAACAGCCGCACAGTCACCAGGGAGCAGCCTGTTATTACTCTATGATACAGGGACCCACAAGCTCACCTCACACAACACAAAGCCCAATACAAATGAAATTCATATCCAATCAGTAAAACATCGGTCTAGTGCTCGGGGCCAAACTAAACCCTGACAACAGAACCGGTCCTCAATTTCAGTGTTAAAACCAAGGGTCTAGTTAGGTTATATTCCAGGTTCTAATCCGGAAATTAACACAATGAGTATATTACTGTAGAAACACGTCACGGCTACCTGCGGTGTAATTGTCAGCACGTTCGCCTCGCAAGCGAGCGGACCCAGGTTCGATCCCCGGGCAGGGTGAAACTATGGGGAAGTTTCTTTACGCCATTTGCCTCTGTCTACCCAGCAGTAATTGGGAATCTGGATGTTAATCGATTTGCGGATCGTGTTCCGGGGTAATGGTTAGCCAGTGCAGTTGGCGAGTTGACCGGTCATGGAACTCGTTAATTCAGGGTGTGGTTGTTGTGTTGGCGACAGCTTCTACACCTTAAGCATATTCACGCTATGGTGACCCTTGGGTCGGCCATCCTCGTTACACGAGGGGCAACCATTATTTTATTAAACACACACACACACACACACACACACATACTTAGTGATCTATTCTCACGAGGTCATTGTATTGTATTGACCAATCAGACCGCTCGTTATAGTTACCAGGTGTCGATGGTCTTATTAAAATCGCAATATACGACTAACTACCGTCCATGGACGTCAGATCCCTGTTAGTAAACATATTCAATGAAAACCATGATGTTGAAAATATTATGTAAATTACATGGGTAATTTACCTTTTACATAACTTTTCATTATTAAACTTTATGTCATTTGGTCATTTGGCAGAGATCGAGCCGTATGTGTTGGGCCACACCTGTTGTCCAGTGATGAAGGGCCCCCAGTGTGCCCTCCACCAGCCTTTGTTTACGTGTGTCAGCTGACCAACTCCACCCAATTTAAGCCTATATATATATATATATATATATATATATATATATATATATATATATATATATATATATATATATATATATATATATATATATAGAGAGAGAGAGAGAGAGTTTGTGTGACTTAATTTTGTAAGTATTCAAAGAGACAAATTCCGGAAGATTTAATTAACTGTGAATGAAAAACTTTATAATTTGTGTTAAAAGAAAACAAAAAGAACAGACTCTCTAGTGAAATAATTTATTTTATTATATATATATATATATATATATATATATATATATATATATATATATATATATATTTGTTTTGTTTTGTAGGAAATTTGCTTTAGAAGGTCAATATTGAACCAACTATCTTATCCAACACAGAATTCATCGTCATTGACTTATTATCATTATTATTATTATTATTATTATTATTATTATTATTATTATTATTATTATTATTCTATGATAATCATCATTATCCGTCCTTTACCTTCGTTTAATAGAGTTGATGATTTACAGCTTGGCAAAAAACTACTTCAAACAAGCCACAACACGGCACCTAATTAGCCATCTGGTTTTATTAATCAAATTCTCCGAAAAAAAATCACATCAAATTTCCTCAACATAGATTCAGTGAGAGATGTGCCAGACCCGTTCACTCATTTACTCACACTGTCCACATTAATAACTACTAAACATCATTTGACAGTACTGAAGAAAATTACGAGAGAGCATACTAGAAGAAAATTGACTTAGAAAATGATCTTAACTATTGTAAAAGATAAACATAGTTTTTTATTGTTGTGGAATCTACAAAGACGAGTACCGTGGTCATATCTGAGGGTTGGCGACCACAGTCCTCCACTCTAAACGTTCTCCTGCCGTTTTTTCCAATCCTCCAAGGTTTTGTATCTCTCTGGGGGCCCAGTTTTTAATTTAATTCATTCATCCTCGTCTTTGCCTTCACCTGGCCCTCCTACCTTCAACTTTACCAATCAATATTTCTGTGAGTGTTCCCCCATCCCTAATTATATGACCAAAGTATCTTATTTTTATTTTTCTGTACTGTACATTTCAATTACTTATCTTGAAGTTTTTGCCAACCTTAGCATTTCTTACTTTGTTTTCCTGTCAGTGTAGCTTATTCTTAACATTCGGCTATAACAACATTACAAAGGCCCCTAACCTCTTTTTGGTGTCTGCTGAAAGTGTCCACGCTTCTGACCCATAAATCAGTCCTTGCCATAAAAAGCCTTATTCTGAAACTGAAGTGAAATTCCCTTTTCATTAGGTCTTTTAGATTATTAAATGTTGTTTTTGCTTAACCTATTGTTGTTTTGATTTCTTCCATACATCTACCACTACAGCTAATGTTACTTCCCAAATTAAAAAAAATTCCACTTGTTTAAATTCCCTGTTACCTACCATAATTTGTATTTTAAGATTCATTTACAATTTGAACACAACATTAATTTAGTCTTTACAGCATCAATATGGAACCAGTTTTTTTAATACCTCTTCACTATCCGAGAAAAGAGCAGTATCATCTGCTGCCATATGGCGCCTAATCACAAAATTTGTGACCAAGTCCCAGGTTGCTCATCTGACTGACTTTCTGCCTCACGTACACACAATTACGGGGCTCATTTGTTTCTCGTACTTTAATAACACAACAAAAATATCGTTTTTCCATTTCTGTATTTATTTATGGTGCATTTTTCGCCCCCCCCCAGGTCCCGATGTGGGTCGGCTGGGTTAATTCCCTTAAAAAATGTTATATTAATAATATCAAAAGACTTTGAACATATATGAATCTACGGACATCACCACCCATATTTCGTTAGGTTACTCTTCAATAATTTTGTTTTCATTATCTCTTTTGGGAAGCACAGATCATAAAAATATATACAAAAATAAAATTATATGGAATTTAAGAGATAAAACAAACACACTATATAAGGT